ACAAATGATCTTCGCATGCATGAGTTTGCTACTTTGGTTAAATGTTACAGGTAATTTGATGACGGTGTCATATTTGCTGGATTTTATCGGAGAGCTTTTTTCACTTTCCTGTCCACTCTGTCTATTCCTACGTCATAGGAGTATTCAGCTTTATTATTCCTCAGAAACCGTCTAGGTACACACATTGTAGACCCCATATGTATATTTGATTGTAATTATTGAGTTTAACAAGTGCTTGTGTTGCAGACATCTTCGGTGCCTTAGGAAAATCAAAAATGATTCGTAATTTGTTTTACGACCATTCATGTGGACAGTTACATCTTTACTTCATGGATATTTTGAATTATATTCAATATGTGTAGGTATCTGCATCAATATAGTCATTTCTCTTCTTTGAAACGACGCAATTTCTCTGCACATGTTCTCGTGATAGCATGGCATGATAATGCTTGAGGGTAAGCCAACTGCAAATCCTGATAGTTTATCACACACTTCAAGAGTTTACATTCCTTCATCACTGAAATTATATTCACGAAGTATTTCAAATATCATCAAGTCAGAGGGCTAAAAGAAAATTCAGGGAAGCTCTCTAACTTAAAATGAGCTTCAAATGTTTGTGTCCATGTCATCTGATAATATATCAAAACACAATTACGTCTTGTTATAAATGAAGACGTTGAATATCATTGCACATATCTCAAATTCAGCTTTTGTAGGGATTTCGGGCGTGAAAATTTATTCCATGAAACATTGTCACAAAATATCAAACCTTCATCAGTTGTAAGCACCTGTGAGAAGTGAGCTCAGAGATCATATTTGCCGTGGAAAGCAGTAGGTTTGTTGTAACTGAAAAAAAGTGTTTAAATTCAGTGGTCGTTTATAGATGATTATTATTTATGTGAAATTCTCATAAAATATTTTGCCCATATGAGTTGAGGAACATTCTGATTTCGAAGTTATACGATGTCAACTAAATGTAGAGAAGAACCATCTGAATACACCGACGACCTGTCTATGTGTGTGTGATACGAGAAATTAAGGAAAGTGAATGATAATCACTAAAAGGTAGTACACAAGTGAGTGATTCGTTAATTTGGTGAGTCGTTTTACGTGAATGAAGTTGTGGAATGTTAAGAAGATTGACTGAAGAGGAAGAAGAAGCTTGAGTGATAGGATTCATTATGCACCGTAGATAGGACTAGACACATTACACTAATATTTGTCAAATCAAAAGTGGTCTGACCTACAGGAGGTCAGTCGCCAGTCTGAACAGCTCAGTGGTAACGTCTGTGACTGCTGGTAGCACTGGGGGATGCAGATTCAAATCTCAGAAAAGACATGAATTTCTTCGAGGTTGCAGATATACCTTTCTGACGATTGCCATCTAGCCCGAAAACTAGGTCGAAGGCTTCCTGCCGATTGCCTCCAACCATCTAATAATAATAAGGTTAAGAAGAATCCCGCGGAAAATTTGCGTGTCAAACAAGCATGGCAACACGGGTCTACAAATTCCACTTCCTTCAGACTTCAGTTAAGGAACCAAGTAACTCATAATAGTTGTATGTGTTGTTTGACAGTTTACTAAAGCATCAGTGCAGGTAGTTGTTCTTCATCAAACTGTCTTTCTTCGGTATCATCCTTAAACGAATATTTACTCTACAATGCTTCCAAAGTATAACATTATTTGTATCATAAAATGAAAATAATCTGAGCAGGAAAACCAGTGTAGACGCAATGTAAAGTACTTGTAAATCACTCCAAAGTCCTAATGCACTATTTATTTACGTGTTATTATCGATGAAGATTTTAACTTGAAGAGGTATGTGAATGGTTTGAATGATTTCATGCATTTACCGATGCTGAGTAGATCATGATAATTATCGTTGTTTATGCCTTCAAGATATTATTGATTTTGTTCATCTGGCGTAAGATTATCATACCCCGACTACTTATCATCCTATTCCAAAAGTTTTCTGCTCTTCCACAGAAATTATTTTTTTCGATTCCCTTACGTTTTCAGTGAAACGCAGAGCTTCAAGCTAGAGTCTTGAAGTTCCGGCAACAGTGGCGTCCATTTTTTTTGTGGGGTGGGTTTGCTAGCCTCATGCACCGACCTTCCCTCTTTATCAATCTTATGAGTGGCTTAGTAAGGTAAGGTAAAGGAGTGAGTCGGTCAGGGATCGGACCCCGAACCACCTGCAGGTTTGGCGAGCATTCTACCGCTGTGCCACCAACGCAGACGACTATTCAACGTATATTTCCCCTAAAATATTCTGACATTTTTCACTACTATTCCAAACAGACACTGCAAATTATTTATTTGCATCTACTTTATTGACGAAGAAATATTTAATGGTGCAAATGTCATTTGGAATCAACAGGAGGGAGTCTCCGTGGTTCTCCTTTAGGACTTTCCTAGTAGATGTCTTCATGGCGAGCTTAAAGAGTAGTCACTTGCAAGAAATTATCTGGAGTCTGTATGTGTGTTTAACAGATATATGGACAACACCTATACTAAATATGATGATAACTGATCAGCCGCTAAACTTCTCAGAAAATTAAATGCTTCTCATCTGCCTATGCTCTTCACTTCCAAAGAGGAGTTGAACTTCACATTTCACTTCTTAGATGCTACACTAGACAGAAGACAGGATGGCACGTTGAAGTAGTCGACTCACTGAAAACCAATCTTCAAAGTGCAGAACACTAACTTCAGCAGTTGATTATCTGCAGAAATCTTCTCTATGGATAAAATCTTCACAAAACCCTCTTAAGTGATGTATATCCTAGAAGGTCTGGTAACAGAAACATCAAGAAATAAACTGTCTCTAGATGAGTCACAATGCCAAAGAAGAAACTATTCATGCGTTTGGCGTTCAAAAGTGACATTAGTGCTAAAGTGGTCAGACAATCTTTATATGCAGCTGACTAACACTTATTATTAGCCAGCCGAAATGTGGTTTGACAATGCGTCAAGCACAAACAGTCGCTTTTATCTACCTCTATGTAGATTTACTCATTTGCATGCTCATGTGGAGCTGATTACATATTGCACACTGTGAGCATAATCTTCAGGAACGCGTAGATAAACACTATCAGATTTAAAACAATCAATACAGGTTAATAGAACAAGATCTATTGAATCTATCAAATTTCGGTAGAATGCGTCAGCTGAATACTCTACATACAGGGATACATATACTTTTGAAATAACATTTGGAAAAATAAGACTGATAAGTAAACAAACTACATTAAATTAGTCATACAGAAAGACAGGTGAGAATGTTTTCCAGGTCATGTTCAAATAGATAAGGGGAGATGGAGTATGAGAGATCAAAATTAAGATAAATTGCATTACGCTTCAATTACGTCACTTAGATAAACAATCAATCATTGGAGAATATAACAAGAATTGCAAACAGAGTAATATCAGTAGTAATAGTTATAATAACAATAACAACAATAATAATAATGTTGTAGTGAGTTAAGGCAATACTACTGATGAAAGATAGTTTTAAATGAATCAAGAATAATAATAATTATAAGAGGTAGGTTAACAAATAAAACGCATTACCATGGTAGATTCAGAGTGACGACCATCTCCTACCAGATTCCGTTAATGAAAGGCTAGCAGAGGATAAAAAAACCTTCAATTTGTGAATGTCAACTGAAATCAGATTATTCAGCACCACCTGGTTTATCCCTTGAAGTTATCTACAGGACCATATGCAACCATTCCAAAAGCTTACTTTTTCTCCACTTGTGCATAGCCGAACCTTTAGATATACATGGACGATAACCCTGAATTGTCGTCAGAAACTTTTGTTTAAACCTCTTTCTCTACCTGAGTTACAGTAATGCTCTTTTATTTTATTCTACTTTACCATGTGAATTCAATCCACTTCACTTCATCTTCGCCTCCTCTGTTGTCATCATCATCAAAGTCTTCATCATTCAGACATCAATCACTTGACCAATAATTTTATAATCTTCATATCAATTCACTTGTTTATTAATCTTCAAAAGTATTGCAGTTCATTTATTTCAACTCTACTCCCTTAAAACATCATTTTATTTTTCCTTATTCTGATTGTATGCACATTGACGGAGCTATTTCTAGTGCCACTCAACGCCACTTTCATAATATTAATGTGACTTTACAACTTGATAATGAAGTTGTTGAAAAGAAATATCCTTTCACTTAACGATGCTTACTCTTTCATTATGAATAAATGGGTATATTTCTCCAATTGAAGAAATGCAAGGACCCATGGACAGTGAAGGGACGTAGTCAGTTTCTACGACATTCTGTCGAACTTGCTGAAGCGAATGCTAATATTGATACTCTCAAAGGTATTTCGACTGTTGTTCAAGAGGCTTCTTATTATTTGTGTGTATGAAGCTGAAGACACTGATTGATGTTGTCTATTGTTGGTATAATGAAATGGTTCAGGTTGGAAGATCAACTTTACTTACTGAATGTCGATGCAGCTGCTGTGGAATTCTTTTATTCACTGCAGAATACTTGATGAGTAATTGATATAAGAATAAAACTTGGGCACTGTGGTAGAGTGTAATTCCATTATGGGTAAATTTTATTTTGATAGAGTCTCACAGTGTTATACAGTAATATTTACTGATGACGTTTCGAGCACAATTTATTGCTCATAATCATATCAAGGTAATCACACGAGACTCTATCAAAATAAAAGTCGTGTGATTACCTTGATATGATTATGAGCAATAAATTGTGCTCGAAACGTCATCAGTAAATATTACTGTATAACACTGTGAGACTCTATCAAAATAAAATTTACCCATAATGGAATTGATGAGTAATTGTCTGGGGTAGAATTTCAAGAGGAACACCTTCCTTCCATGATGCCTGACAATGTGATACTCTGATCGGACACTCGTTAATACCTAGTACCATGCGTCTAGTCCATTGTTTGGTGAATACTGAATTGTATCAGTCAGTTTTCTAAATCGGTTATTCATACTTTGTGGTTGTTCATGGTATCCAATAACTTCAACGATAAACACGTATTACTCAATATACAGAATGACGTCAATAAATCTTCGGAAGTTAAGTGAACTTTTGATTTACGAAGGACAAAATATTCTGAGATAATGTGAGTCTAACTTAAGGAAGAGAAATTCGGTGTAATTTGCACATTGACTGACCTTAAATCATCATTGTGTAGGCCCACAAAGACGAATGTATACTACAATCAGTTCGTCTCTTGCCCTTACCAAAAGTAGCCAACGTCATATGAAACTTTTAGAAAAAATTGATTTCCCAAGTTGCTCTTCGTACTTTGTGTTGGGTATAAAAGTTGGACGTGGTAAACCAGTTGCGAAGTTGAACTGTCTTGGAAAACACTATGTAATTATTGATCAGATACCAATCGTTGAACAAGCTGTACGAAGGCACGTACGAGAAGCTCACAAGGATAATGAAAACTCATGCGGTAAGCGTACTAGCACGATTGCAACACTTAATCATTTTGAGCTCAGACATCGTCATGTTCCGAATAGACATTTGTTTCAGGAGAAAATAAATGAAGTAATTTCGACATAAATGTGAATGCTTTAGTAGGAAATATTAATACCGAATCCGTTCAAAGAGCTGAGAGTCTTGCTGGGTAATTCATGGTTCCTTATAGACATGCTGGAAGTCATTTGACGTGTGGACAATGTGATGAATGACTATTACCATTATTGTATTGTTAAAGTGTTCATTACTGTGCGTTTCTATTTATTACACGCATAAAATACAAATAATTCTGCCGAATACGAATTTATGATCATTTTCCTGTCCATCTTATGACGAACAGAACCAAGTCGTAGTGGTTTGAACGCAGGAGACCGTCTTATTGTGTGGCTGACTAAAACTCCCTTCAACAAGCACAGTTACAAATCACTCCAAAGGCAGCAAAACAATGACCAGTTTTTGTTGGATCTGTGTGGTTCTCTTAAATAATATTAGTAATCACATCAGAAACCGGACATTACCTCAGCAGTTAGGTAGGGAAACTACGCAGTCGAAATAATGTTATAAAAAATGCTCTGCAGAAAAATAATATCTGACAAAATAACCCGTAAGAAGTAACACAAAATTAGGTAAAATATTCCTCAATGGGTGGGAGGGAATCAAAACATCTCTCCATAAGAATCATGCACAGGTAATCTCTATACATAGACCAAGGTCAGAATAACCTTGATTCACTCCAATTGAATGAATGAAGTCGTAAAACAACACATTCTCGATGCCATCACACAACCACAATCAGAAGCAATAAAATTAGAGATTGAATAGGAACAAAACCAAGTAATAACGACCAAGACAACATATGACATGCAAGTGTCAGAACAACAATATACGGAATATCACCTTTGAGACCCCCATTCAAGGAGATAAGCGGATGATATATACACAGTTAGTTGAAACATGCAAATAAGTATACATCTTGTTATAACTCCGTTCAGGAGGAGGAATTTTCCCAACAATTATTCCAGCACGCATAATCTTTCGTCTACCGGTATGCAGTCATTACAACTTACAATTACAATCAAATATTATCATCACTCGTATGGCTGATTACCTTTTCAAATTCCACTTGAGTGTGCAGTTTGTTGATACTGAGATTGAAATCACAGAATTTAGCATCTGTGCAATAAGCTTTATACTATAAATCATATAAAGATATTGTAGAGTGAATGAAGACTAATTCTGCTGGAACATCCAAAAATTGACCATGCACTTTGATGGACTGGATTAATGCTGTTAACTGTGCAGATGACAACTGTCCTCTTTTGCCATTATACCCCCTCGCAAAAACAGTTGAACATAGATAAATGTGATAGTATACCTGATGTAAATGAAACAGCCCCTTCTCAGAACAACTTGATTGTCATTGAGAGCAGGAATTATTTTGAGATGATGAAAATCCGAGTTAAGGAGGAGAATTTCCGTGTCACAGGTGATTTCACCCTGAATCTTCGACATTATACAGATAGATATGACTACATGTGAACACTGACACTCCTTGTGTATTTTGTTGCACTTCGTGCTCTTCCACATCTCACGACGTTTCAGAAGCCCGCAACACACAAACGAATATTGGTAGTAATATTCACACGAGCGCTGATTGACTTACAATAAGACTGCTCAATGATAACGCACATAAAGCAAAGATCATTCTCGAGTATTTGATCAGAGTAAGAGGTCATTTAAGTGTTAACACTGATATAAATGGAGCATATATGAAAATATCGATAATATTTTCAGACACGAGACTGTGAGTTTATGAGTTTGATTTTCATGCTTACAGTGTTATAACATTTCACTGGTAGGCGACATCGGTGGATCTTAGAATGTGAATATCTGCATCAACACCATGTTGTGTAAATTGATTCACTTGTCGTAGATGGACGACTAATGATGTGAAAGTAGTAAGGGATACTGACGCCACGTCAATATTTATTTTTCTCATTGGAAGGTTGATTTGGAGACTGAATAATGGATTCCGTTTTTTAGACACGCACATGTGCATAAATCCGTTGCTAACAGTGATGTCTCTGTACAGTGTTTGTACCAAAGTTTCGTTATGATTATCGGTAGGACACTTCAGTTTGCATAAAATGCTTCCCTTTCATGTATTTCATCTGCAGATGTTCCTCATTTCAGAAAAAAACGCCGAATATATTCATGCATTCAGTCATTCATTCATTTTCAGACTTACGAAGCAGTGGAACAGTGTTATCAAATGACATGGTTCATGTCCGCTGATTTGACAGACTCTGAGAGGTGGGATATTAATTTCCTTCATCAATTTTCCTTTCACGAACAGCCAACGTGATCCAAGCCAGCTGCCAACAGCACTCTGGATTACAGCGATTGTCTGCGGGTGAGTCTTTCATTATACATTTTTTCCCTAATTTAATATGAAGGAACACAATATATAAGAGATAAAGGGATAGATAGAAAGCAAGCTCATTGTGAAACAGTATTATAAATTTGACTCTTAAATTAGTGGAGATGACATTACACTGTGCTCACATTACAGTCTTCATATTCAAATCTGCTGAAGTGACAGACAAGTTGATTGGATGATTTTAATAGATTCTCAGAAAATGTGCATTCCATAGATTCTACTAGACTTCACGAACTTATTCATTTAACCGTTTATCTGATGTTACATGATTGATCCGTCTTTTCAAAGTGTGGAGACGCATTCTTTGAATTTGTCATTTTCCAACAAGATATCTGTAGGTGTACTTTGACTGGACATTAAAAACCAGTGTGATGTGTCTAGTCCCTTCTCCGATTCAGACTGAATTCTATCAGTCAGGATTGCAACTAGCACGAAACGTACATGCAAGGCTATCTGAGGATCGCCTCCAACCATCTAATATCTCTAGGTGTAATTAATTTCATATTTGGACGATTCTCATTCCATCCAGTGTATTTGTAGAATATTGCATATTAGACATAAATGAGAATTTCACTACATCTGGGATCATAGACTCAAGCAAACACTAAGAAGTTGCATGCTGGAATTAAATTTCTAGCTTTCCATGATGTGTACTCTTTTGTTATTTCGTGTGAAGCTTTGAACATGACACATCTCCACAGAGTATCTGATTATTTTCCATTGTCGAGTTGTCTTACTGACATTTTGGATTCTGTCATAGTTTGGACTAAGTAACACTGACGGTGTCAATTAATCGAGTATTCAAAAGCCTAATAATAGTGAATTCTGTCAGGATTACTGGTTTTAAGACAAGTTGATTAATTGTTGATGTTGATGAATACACTGATATTATTACCTCTTGATTGTCTGTTTCAGCTGCGTTGGTTTTGTCTTGCACATATGCTTGGCATTTATTCAGAGGTTGCGAACACTATTTGTGATGTATTATTAAAAATTAAGTCTTCAATAAGTGAAGATGTTATTATATTCTGCTCAATTTGCATTCATCATATTCAACTCTAGATGTTAATCGCATGATTTTCACAGATTCTGAGAACATTAATATTCCATAGATTCAAAATAAAAAACTTCATAGGCTTATTCACTCGATCGTTTATCTGATTGATATTCAGTGACTGGTGTATCTTTTCACAGCAACGAATCGAAATCCTTCAATATGTATCTCTAATAAGATATTTGAAGGTGTAATTATTTTCCCATTGGGAAAGAATTTTATTCATTCAAGTGTAAAAATGTAGAATAACGCATATTATAAGTGGTTGAGGAATTCCCCCTTGTTGTCAGATTTTAAGCTAAAGTTAAATGCTGGAATCGACTTCCCAGCTGTCAATTATTTGTGCATTTTAGCAATTTCGCTTAAACTTTTGAAGAGTATATGATAATGTTGCGTTGTCAAATGTTCCTACTGATATTCTCGAAACTGTCATGGTATGGAGTAATTCACACTGATAGTATGCGTTAACTGATTGTTGTAAAGAGTACTGATAATGAATTGAAATGGTTAGTGATCTTATGACAAGCTGATTCATTCTTGCTGATTCGGTTGTGTTCTCTGAACTGGATAGTTTACTTGAGAAGCTTTCATCGCCCTACTAGGCAATATCTTCATCACATACCACAATTTGAATTGAATTGAGCTTTTAGATTTCTCCACGACTTCATTAGTCATCTCTTTTATTGACCTTGAACTCGATTAGTTGTTTTTGCGTGCTTTCACACCCGCTAGGCTGCTGTATTGGAACTCATTGTTTCCATGACTTGAACTTTGACCTTCGTGTGTGAGATTCCCTCCTTATCGATTGGTAAATTTTGTCTATTTCAATGTGTCTATTGATTGACGACTCACTGAATTACTAGGCTACTAAAAATTCTCTAGCATTCTCGGTGTTTTCTCTCTCTAATATTTGTGTTTGATCTTTAGTAGGATTATGTTTTCGAACATTTGCATCACTGCTTCCGCAATCAAACCTGATATTGGCGATCCCATGGGTGTTCCTTTTATTTGTTCATATATTTGGCCGTTGAAATAGAACTGCGCTGTTAGGCATAGGTTCACGAATTCCATCCAGCTTGTGTGTTGCATTTTTGATTGTTGTGGGAGGTATTCGTCTTTGCTGAGCAATTGCTCCATGGTCTCTTTTGCTAGTTTCTGTCCAACTGAGGAATATAATGCTGTGATATTAAAGAATACCATTATTTGTTGATCATCTATTTGAATGCGATCGATTTTCTGTAGAAATTTGGTTAGTAGAATTGATGGAGTGATCGCAGTAATCCGTTAGGTGTTCGAGTTTTCTGTATAATTCTCTGTGTAAATTGTATGTTGGAGTTCCTGAGAGTAATACAATCGGTCGTAACGAGATATTTGGTTTGTATATTTGGCGTCTGCCGTGGAATCGAGGAAGGGCTGCCATCTTTATTTCCACCGGAATAGCTGTTGTACATTACAGTGAAACATGTTTAACAGTGGTTATATTGAAACGTTTCTATGTGTCAGCCAAATGTTTATGTCCACCGATAGTTCTGATCATTGTCAGTTGAGGTGATCGTGTGCCCAATTGTTTTCCACTTTTCTGGTCTGTGA